TCTTAAGCGCAAAAAAAAAGATGAAATTGTCGTGTTTCATTTTTATATCCGCATTCTTAATTTGCCATTAACAATTATATTGCCTCTGTATAGAATGTCCAATAAAATTCCATTTTAATAAATTCGAGGAAACGAAAACAGTTCCTTCAAATATAATATTAAATTGCTAATTTTCCTCAGCTATCGATTACTTCGTTTTTATTCAATTAACACGATTGTGATATGAACGCGTATATATCTATCTTATTATTAATTCAATGGCTCGATTTTGAAGGAATAAAATACGAAATTCATTATCGTATCCCTTGTAAGTATATCTCGCAACAAAGCGGGAAAGAAGGATACCAAAATAACACTGTGATGATAACTGTTATCCATTAACGTAATAAGCTTATTTCCAAGAGGAAATATTTATAAATTATAAAGTAAAACAACGGGCGCCAATTTATCATTTCGAATCAGATGAATGAACTCGTTCGCCATCGAAAATATCATTTTGATGTAGTCGGATTGATAAATTAACCCCAACGCGACCGTACGCCCCTGGAAACCTGGCACGGTCTTAATACACGGTCCAACCCTCTAATGAAAATGTATCTTCCATCTATAATTATAATCGTACTTTGGCCTGGCACGTTCGAGCTTATCGCCAATCTCGGTAGAGATAACACATGTGTATCACGATAGGGGCGAACAGGGTCGCCAGACCCCTCATTCTTAGAGAAGGATATCGTCTCATATTTCAAATTTTCATCCCCCCTCGATCTTCAGAAAAATCTTCGACGAACCCCCTTTCTTTTCCTTCCTCCGGGTGAACAACAAAATGCAAAACACGAAAGATGGAGAATTTTTATAAATATGAAAAATTACTTGTAGAAAAGAAATATCTCACCATATCCAAATTTTTATCCCTCTTCCATCGCAAAATCTTCGAACGAACTCTTTCTTTTCTTTCTAGATAAACATAGAGGGACAAGGATAAAATTAGAATCAATTTTAACAGAATTCAAAAAAAAATATCATTCCTTCCTTTCCTTCCCAGACAAAATAAAATATAGGAGGGAAATTAATACAGAAATTAAGATCGTTTTGAGAATAACATCTAAAAATCTTCGTCCCCTTCGAACGCAAGAACATCAACGAATCTTCTTTATTACTAAAGAAGAACCATATTCATCCTTCCTTTCATTCCTCCATCGCAACATCTCCCCTTCCTCTCTTTACTAATACTAAAAAAAAAAAGACAAATACTAAAAAAAAAAAAAAAAAAAGAAAAACTAAAATTAAATTTCGATTGCAGGAATTCCACGCAAAAATTACCGCAACGAGGCGTGCAATCAGAAGGGAATTAGAGCGTGACGGTCGCGGTCCAATTAACGGTCACTGGCGGCCAAGTCGCGGTCGGAAGAAGGGAGGGGGATGAAAAATCGAAACGAGGACGGGAGGTATCGAGATTGCTTCGACGAGCGGCCGTCGTCCCGAGGAATCGTGTATTCAGGCGAATTTCTGGCGGGCGAGACGCGGTGGTGAAAAATTAGCCATGCCCAGGGGCGTTGTACCCCTTTTGCCAAGAGGAGCAAACGCCTCGCCCTAATACAGATTTATTGCCGCCTAAGAGCCGGAGCTGGCCGGTTCTAATACAGGTATTATGCTGACGCAGGAACGAGGAATTTACACGAAATTGGAGGTAATTTGTAGGGGTCGAGTTCACCCCTATTCCCCTTCAACCCAACCTGCTCGTCGGCTCCATCCCCTCTCCCTCCCCTCCGTTACATCGTATCAGACCGTGTCCGCAAACTCGGCCGGAAACGACCTAACTCTTGCCGCTTCCCCCGAATATTAGACGAATTCATAAGTTGTTTTTCTCCATGGCCTGATCGAATTCGATAACGAAGAGAGAAACGTTGTTGGTAGTTTAGAAATAATTTGGATACGATACTTGTTTATTAATATATATATATATGTTTTTTAAATTTGGTTTGTTATATTTTCAAACTTGTAAATTAATTATTGTAGATATATTTCATTGCACGATGGAACACAGAATGGAAAGAAAAAAATCAAAAGGAAACTTTGAAAAAATTTGAAAATACTATTTCAATTAATTCATCTATTTCAAATTTATTTACTCATTTTTCTTCTACTTGCGGGAAAAAGAAAGTAAACGAAATCATCGACGATTAATACATAGAAAATATCATGAAATTCGTTCGAAAGAAAATTCGCAAAAAAAAAAAGAAAAAGACACGCAAAGTTTTCTCGGCCAAAAGAGAGAGAGAAAAAAAGGAAGAATAAAAATAGTCACGCCTATATCGATATTATATTCGTAACGTCACGAAACGAAGATATCGAGGCGCATTATTAACAGACATCGGTGCGTTTCGAGCACCAACCCTCATAAATTGCCTCGGTTCGTAAATGTGCCGAATCGATTTGGCTGTCAGCCGTCCGACGCCCGCTACGAATCAAGATCGTAATATCGCCGGTAAAAATGTCAGGAAGACGATTCCTCTTTTTGACAAACGATAGACACTCGGCTTCCGAGTGTATCAAGGTTAATCTCGCTTCGCGATTTTTCTTCCACCACTGGTTCGCTCCATTCGATTCGACCACTCTTTTTCTTTGTACCCCTCCTCTTCCATTTTTACTCTCCCCGCGGAGATTTTTTAACGTCATTGTCGCGATGCAGCGACGATGATTGCACGATTCGTACAATGCGATTAATAGGAAAAGCGATTAGACGCGTCGGCCGAGATTAAAAAGTTTCGATATTAAATTTCAACGTGTATTCACCCTCAGAATATGTTATTACATCTCTGAGAAAATTTGTTACGTTCAAAATGTTTTTCTTTTTTTTTTCAAGTCTTTTACAATTTAAAAAAGAAATAAAGAGAATAAATTCGGTTAAATTTTCGAGGGAGGAGGGATTCATTTTACTTGGCTTGTAAAAAGCGTGTAATTGCTCAAAAATTGTGAACACCTGTTTGCATAATATTTAAAAAATAAAACTTCTGGACGAAAAAACACTTCACTTTACATAAACGCAGTTTTGCAAAACTACTTTCATTCTTTTACCTACGAGTGATCACGCGTGTATTTGAACTCCTTCTGAGCCGAGATACCTTATGCATTATTCGTTTTCCTTTTTCTTTTTTTTTTTTTTTTTTCATTCCAGTTCATTGCGTTCAATTTTCATAATTTTTCCTTTTATATACATCGTGTACAGAACGGAAAAGAAGTGGTCGAAAAAAGCTTGCATTAAAATCCACGAGACGAGAAAACTTTTCGAGAATCTCATCTTGCATTATTTCTTCTTGCTTTACCACCCACGATTAATAAGATATTAGATAATTTACAAGCCGTGTTTTCGCATCCCCCCGATATCTGATATTCATTGTGCCCTCTCTCTTATTTTCTCTCTTTCTCTCTTGCGCGTTCTTCAGGCCGTGCACTATTAAAAATTTTAATGCCGGCAAGCACAGCACGGGACGTTTCCAACTGCCCTCGGGCACCCACGAGATTTTAATCTCGCCGTTGTAATAAGAAATAAACCGAGCTGCTAGTGGACTCGCTAAATATCAGCCTCGTTGAAAACGTTCGTGGCCGCGTCACGCGATCGAAAAATGCGAAACAGAAAGAATCTCAGGCGCAATTAAGGTGTTTAGCATTCGAAAATCTTGCGCAATTATCAAGATCAAAGCTAATACGCTCCAGATTTATTTTCTTTCACCGCTTTCGAAACGGTTGTTGCGTTTACAAACACCGTTCACTCCTCTTGGATAGCGTTTGACAAACGTATGAATCGTGTGAATTTAATATTAACGTAGTAATTTCCAGAATTTTTCTTCTCAAGTTGAAAAACGATCTCTAACGACGATTGCACTCCATGGATTTTAAAGGAAATTTTGTGTTTAAAGTCGAAAGTGAAATTCTTTGAGAGCAAATGATTTTCGACGAAGTGTCCACTCGTCATAGATTTTTCTTATTCTCGAAATGGATTAATACGATATTCGTTTTCGTTTTATATTCTTTATCGTTAATTATACCGGATTGCGAATTAAAATTTGAAGATCTCGAATGGATATCGTTGTAAAAGTTTCTCTCTCGCTTGTGCGATATGATACAAGTGATACGAGTATTTAGCTTGGGAGAAAGAACCGTTACCTAAACGGATAACAAGGAAAAAGGAAAGACGAAAGAGTTGGGTTGAACTTAAGTTGATTAAAGTAAGCGATTGCGAACCGTTGGCCAAAGTTCAACGTTCATAGTTTCCCAACTTGTGGCAAACCGATACTAGATGTCCCTTTAGCGGTAGAAAATTAACAGCCGATTCTACGATATAATTGTGCAACTTCCTCTTCGGCCCCCGTATCTCTCGAAACTCTTTAACTTCCCGTTTCTTCCAAACAATTATTGCAAAAACCCTTCGCACGGTAATTTATCAATAAATACAATGAATTGTCGAGTCACAAGTTGCAAACTGTCTCTTTTATCATTTTACAATTTTACAATCCGTAACATCTTTGTTAAAGTTCCTTGTTGAACTTCGATCGAAGAATTCGCGCGAGGAATAATTCTTTTTTTTTTTTTTTTTTTTTAGAAGAAGAGCAGATAAAGTATAAATTTTATAATATAAAAGAATATTACGTATTACAAGTGGAGTGGAGAATTCCAAATGATGGTTATAAGTTTATCACGTTCTAAATTCCATCGAGACATTAATGACAATGTATAATAATTTCAGCAATAATACCGTTTCAATTGCACAATGAGGGAGAAAGCAAATACGATAAACAACAAGAGACCAACAACCTTCTCGTTTATCACCGGTACTCCAAAGGAAGTTCGAATTTCGGTGTTTCGAGATCTCTCGTATCGATTAATTGCAATCAACGAGGGGGCCGCACGCATTCTACAAAGGGAGAAACTATAGCGCTAAATCAAAATGGCCGACTTACCGTACTGCACCCGAGCATTTCGCGATATCATTGTTCACTTACCTGGCATGTTTCGGGCCAAGACTGGGATCGTACATAGAACTGGCCGATATATCTTCATCGGGGATTTCGCCATTCTCCATGCCCAGTGCCGCGGTACATTGTCCTGAAAGGATTCGAAACGGCGTTAGAGACAGAGAAACTGATATGCTTTGTCAATTTGAAGGGTTTAAACCAGAGAGAGAGAGAGAGAGAGAGAGAGAGAGAGAGAGAGGCAGAGAGGATTGACTGACCATGCGAAAATGAAACGATGAATAATTGAGAAACGAATGGTAACCTTGCTAATGAATATAATAATATCATTACGAGAAATATTACATTTTCAAAGTAATTATATTTATTCGATGAAAACGTGTATCTTGGATATTAATGATTCGACAAGATTTAAAATAAATACATTTTTCTCTTTCGATAGGACGATGATTCTTCCATGTGTATTTTTATTAAATACTCGAATCTATCATTGCGAATTAAATTGATATTTTGGTTTCAATTACGATCCGACTATAAATTAAGAGAAATATCGTAAATTCTTTTCTATGATGCCAAATAATTAAACGATTACAAATGAGTAAGATAAAAATTTATCTGGAATTCATTGAGAAATTTTGCACATGAATTTACACAGGAACGAATTTGTTGGAATTTCGAGTTGATTTCCAGAGAATAGAGATCGTGACACGTTGCCACAAAATACACAAACGTGTTCTCGCGATGGTTACAATTCTTCAGCGAGATCCTAGGGGAACAGAAATTGCGACGTCATTGGTATTACGCACGAGGGACTTGAAACTCGACAATCGAACTTCCTTTCTCATCCCCTTACGATCCTTTACTCGTTTACCGTGATAAACAAAACTAAAACATAACTAAAATAAGCATAATCGATGATATTGTGCATAATTGTTAACTTCTAATTGTTAACTTCATTGATGATCCAATCAATAGAAAATGAATTGAAACTAGAGAATATAAGAATATTTACAAAAAGAATTATTCTGTTTAAATGTTAAATTGTAATTTCTCGAAACATTTTGTATGCACGATTCTCGAAATACAATACCAGAAGCAATACGGTACAGCTAGGCGGATAATCAACTGTAATAAATTGTCCAATTCATAGTGACGTAGAATGAAATACGATAGAGTCTACGATACATGCATACATTCGGGCCAGGACACTGCAGTTACGCTCGAAAGTTTCAAAAGTGGACGTAGAAATTGGCTCCCTTCAGATACGTTGCAGGCACTGATTTTCGTCAAATGATATTTCGTTCTTTCAAACGAACTTTTTTTTTATCTTTTGTTTACAAATAATAATACGAACGAAACGATGAGATATAATATCATTACGAGAAATATTACATTTTCAAAGTAATTATATTTATTCGATGAAAACGTGTATCTTGGATATTAATGATTCGACAAGATTTAAAATAAATACATTTTTCTCTTTCGATAGGACGATGATTTTTCCATGTGTATCTTTATTAAATACTCGAATCGATCATTGCGAATTAAATTGATATTTTGGTTATATACGTTTCAATTACGATCCACTAAATTAGAGATATTCGTCGTTTATAAATTTATAAATTTATAATAAATTTTCTTCTTTCCGGTAGTAATTTTACGTATCTCAAACTTGAAAATTTCTATTCATCTTATATTATTTCTCGTACAATTCCATACAAAGGATAATCGAAAATTATATACGTTCGTAAATCGAGATCGGTGAATGTACTTCTGGAATAATTATCGTCTTCTCGCGTTAAAGTTTTACTGTCGTTCGTATCGAAGTGAAAATCAACAACGGCGAGAAGAAAGCGTTGTTGTCCCGTAGACGACTCAACGAGCGTTGAAGTTGCAAAATGTGGGTCGCTGGAAAGTCTGCAGTTGCGCAAGTTGAGTTGATATTCAACCGACTGCGATTGTCATGCGTACCAGTAATACAGTTAGTTTCTGTACATGTCGGTGACTTGGTATTACTACGATGAAACTTCGCGCTGGCTTCTTACTTCCCCAAATTCTGTGAACTTGCTTGCATCACCGTTCTGTTTTCTATGTATATTGTCCTACACCTACACCTGCCTGTATAGAGAGAACAGAACGGTTTCCACGACTTTATGCACGAATCACGGCCTCGCGTTACACGGTGAACAGGGAACTTGTTTTCGTTAAAACGTACAAGTTTTCCCTCCCTTGTGTTAATAATAAACTTTACTTCGCCTCGCCGTAAAAGTCTCGTTTTAAAATCAAAATTTAATTCCCGTATTTCGATCGTGATTATCACGAGGATCAAATTGAGAAAGTTTTGAGAAAGTTTGCAAGATTTTCTTAGAAACGCTTCGTATTTCAATTTATTTAATATTTAATATTTACGTTTAATTTATTCGAATACTATTACAAGTAAAAGTATAAAATGACTCGATATTCGACGGGTATTTATTTTATTAAGTATCGGAAACGTTTCGTAATTTAAATAATAATCGCAACAAAACTTTCGAAACATGCTATTATCGTTTGAAGTTGTATATCTTTCTCGATTAATATATTCTAAAATTTTTGTTGTACGCGAATTTACCAAATTTATCGCCTAGTATCATCGTTCTGCGTTAAAACAAAGAATTCTAACAATTGATCGAATCCTGGCCAAATCACTTGTTTTTACGTTTTACAATTTATATTTATTTTAACGCAAAACAAAAGAAATAGGAAAATCTAGAACGAACGAGGAACAATGAAATAGTGTCTAGCATGAACACAAGTCTATATCGCGAAGCAGTTAACAGGAGTACGTGATTCATTGAACGAGCTCTGTTCAGGACAATTTTGAGGAGGAGAGAGAGATTGTTTGCAGTTGCTCGCGTTCAACAATCATTCCCAAAACACAATCAGAACGAACTCCTTTCGATAAACGCTTAACATCAGGCAGAAACAATAAACCAACAGTTCTCGCTAACGTACCCTGTTAACTTAAAATCCACCTTCGAACTAATAATTGCTTTTACGTTAATTTGAATTCACCTCGGTCGGACCTAGTTCCCCTTAACTATTCACTGTCAGCTACATAGACAAATCCATCGACAAATTGACTATCCTGAAATCCGTTTAAATCCGAAACTTTTTGGACTGGAAACTTTCAACCCTCCTCCAAAGTCTCATTTCTCGCTTGCTCGGTTAACGATCACTCGAGAAGAATTAGATTAGATTCAGAGAATCTTTTTTAACAATTTTCGAATATTTTTCTTCGGTTTATTGTATATTTGTGAATCAATGGGATGTTTTGGTTCGGTTCTGTCTTTTCCCTTTTTTTCAATTATTATGCGACGCGACATATCGAGTTCAAATTAACAGAACAAAGGCTTATATCTGTATAACATAATTTATTCCTACTTTCTTTATTAACGATCACTTGAGAAGAATTAGATTAGATTCAGAGAATCTTTTTTAACAATTTTCGAATATTTTTCTTCGGTTTATTGTATATTTGTGAATCACTGGGATGTTTCGGTTCGGTTCTGTCTTTTCCCTTTTTTTCAATTATCATGCGACGCGACATATCGAGTTCAAATTAGCAGAACAAAGGCTTATATCTGTATAACATAATTTATTCCTACTTTCTTTATTAACGATCACTTGAGAAGAATTAGATTAGATTCAGAGAATCTTTTTTAACAACTTTCGAATATTTTTCTTCGGTTTATTGTATATTTGTGAATCAATGGGATGTTTCGATTCGGTTCTGTCTTTTCCCTTTTTTTCAATTATCGTGCGACGCGACATATCGATTTCAAATTAGCAGAACAAAGGCTTGTATCTGTATAACATAGTTTATTCCTACTTTCTTTATTAACGATCACTTGAGAAGAATTAGATTAGATTCAGAGAATCTTTTTTAACAACTTTCGAATATTTTTCTTCGGTTTATTGTATATTTGTGAATCAATGGGATGTTTCGGTTCGGTTCTGTCTTTTCCCTTTTTTTCAATTATCGTGCGACGCGACATATCGAGTTCAAATTAGCAGAACAAAGGCTTATATCCGTATAACATAGTTTATTCTTACTTTCTTTATTAATTTATATTCTGATCAAATTCTAATCAATAGGTTTCACAGCCTCTTCGTTTTTCTGCATTATTCCTGAGAAGGATAACTGTATAGATAAGACAGTTTTTCGACTAAACTAATATAACTTCACAAATTTATTCGTATTATACAATGTTTATTGAAATGGAAGTATTGATCGGTTAATGTATTCTATTATGTTTGCAAATTGTATATTTATTAGCGATGTCCAGTGTTGAAAGAAAACTCAATTTGCAAACTAAATAGATACAGCAAAGTTTAATGTATATAAAGAGAAATTCAAGATCGTTAACAGGATCAAACTAGATTCCTTAATAATACCGATCAATTCATAATCTCGTTCCTTCGAAGGCTACTAATCTCATATTTATAACAATATTTTAATTATCTTCCCATAACACGTGTAATGCAAAAAAAGAAAGTATATTGAAATCACCGAATATTATCCAAAATCAGATTCATCAAATCCATATATTAATCCTGCCTTCCCGAAATCGTGTCAATCAGAGGAAACGTGAACGTGAAATATTCGTGTTCCTGTTCAATTTGGAGAGGAGAAATCAGGAGAAAAAAGATGGTCGTAATTTTTCCCGATGGAAAAAGAAAACTACCACGTCGAATCGCGTTCGTAGCTTCGTCCATGGCGCATCTGTGGACAGATAAAATGGCGGGAGGGCACTCTAAATACACGTCGAAAACTCTAAATACACTGGCATAATTGCTCGCCGGAATAAAACATTGACACCCTCGCCATTGTTCCCTCCTCCTCGGTTGCCAATACGCGCACCTTGCCAGATATGCACGGCCTAGTTCTCTTTGCAATTCAATCCTTAGAACTGTCCTGCCTCCGTGCCGCAACTTCGATCGTGCCGCTCTTCAGAGAATGCGCCTCTTTATGCGGCATCCATTACTGGGGCAAACTGCGGCCGAGATGAGCCGTGCCGTAATTATCGAACTCCCGAGAGCGAGTTCGTTACGGGGTGGGGGGTCGACTGTTTAGTTGCAGGGATACGTCGCGCAGGTGTTCCAAAAATTGCACCACGGAACTTCCGCTCGAGACGAGAGAGAGAGAGAGAGAGAGAGAGAATGGTTGGAAACGATCTGTCACTGGCACAAATTCGGGGAGAAGGGGTTGTTCGTTACGACGCTCTGACTCCATATAGGTGCGCAAACTTGTTTAAGGGTGGCTCGAGGCGTGTGTATTCATTGTTCTTATCCGGATAAGCTTATATATATACACATATATATATATAAGGGTTGTTTGAAGGCGAACCTCTTGCGTGGAATATCGCTTGATCTATCGGTGGGAGGAGGATAGATCTGGAGGATCTGTCATTCGCAACACGCGTCCCTATTCATTTGTGCAGAGGGAATGGCAGAGGAATACGTTTCTCTCTCTCTCTCTCTGTCTGGTTTACTGCGTAACCGATTCGAGAATCGGATACGTTTACACGCCTCGAGGATTCCTTTTGAGACCTAACGACCTAAAGGGATTAGATCCCGTGGATCTGTCGAGTTACGGAGCGGTTTTAATTGGAAAAATGGTACGGTGTGGATAATGGTACGGTTGACGCAACGGATGATCGTTATTCGAAGCGACGTTTGTTTCGTTTTAATAGTTGAATTCCTTTTTTGAGAGTCTGACGTAATTAGGGGGTTCGATCGATGGAGAGATAGACACAGAGAAAGAGAGAGAGAGAGAGAGAGAGAGAGAGTGGTTTTAATTGGAAGAAATAGATAATAGGTACGATTGATATGAATGATCGTTATTCGAAGCGACGTTTGTTTCAATTAATAGTTGAATTTTCTTAGAGAGTCTGAAGCGATTAGGGTTTGCGGATTAATCGATGGAGACGGGATGACGTTAACGTTACGATCAGAAAGGAGATAGAATACTTTTTTCACTAGATTCTCCGGAGAATCCAAAGAAAATTTCTCGGATAGGATTTATCACAAGTCCCAGTCAAATCGGTTAAATTTATTTCGAAAAAAGAAAAATCTGTTCGAGTAGAGATAAAATTATTATCAGGCACAATTGACCTGATTCGCTCGTTTAACTTCTCTCGAAGATAGTTTGCTCGACAATTGATAATCTTTCCTCCTCGAAAATTCGAGGAACAACGAGTACCATTTCCCGTTCAAAATACGTAAAACACACCGATCCACGAAAACGTAGCGTGGATAATTAGAGTCCCGTTTGAATGATGGAAGAGGCCTGTTATTCGGCCCGATTCTTAACCGGGCTCCATCGTTGTTCCATCCCTGTTCAACCGTATTAATTAAACAAGCCGTCGAAAAGAGTGCTCGATTCAATAAAAAAAAAAAAAATAAATAAATAAATAAATTCAACGCGACGCCCCCTACGAACGATGAAATGAACAAAACAAACTGGCTATCGTTCTCGTTGGAGAGAGAAAAAAGAGAGAAAAAAAAAAAGAAGAAAAAAAAGAAAAACGCTCATCGATTTGCAATTTGAAAGATCGCGCCCCTCTATTTTTCTTCCACCCCCCGAACACAGCCCATTGACTCATGAATACCACTGAGCCCATCGATCGACCAAACGGCCAAAGCATCGCGCTTTCCTTCTATTCCGGCGTTAATTAAACCCACCTTCTGTCCCTCCTTCTTCCTCCGTTCCCTCCTCTTCCCTCCTCCCCCTAAAAGAGGGTGGCCAACTATTTTTCTCCGCCTTCGATGCAAATAATCTGGTTAATTGAAATACAATAATCTCTGAAAGAGGGACAAAGGGAAGGTCGTTCTTTTTCCTCGACGCGCGGACAAAAGAGAATGTCGAGGAGAGGAGAGAGGGGAAGGAAGCGTGTCGAGGAAAAGGAACAATAATAACTCGTGGTGGACGAAAGACTCGAGAAGAACGCGATATATAAGCTAAGTTTCGGTTCGTGGTAATTAATATGCATAAAAACATAACGACCATTAAGCGATAAGACGACGACGACGACGACGGCGACGACGAGGACGAGGACGAGGAGGAGGAGGAGAAGGAGGACGAGGTAGTAGGCGCACGAGAGAATGAATCGGCACAATGCTCGTGTTCCCGCTCGTCTGCGCCCGACCACCTATTAGATAGTATTGTTAATTCATCGTGCCGCTGACATTTCATTTGCGGCCTCACAATGGGAACGTAGTGCGTAATGGCCGCGCCTCGTTGCGCCCGACTTCCCTTCCCCGGGGAAATACCATGAATATTAATTTTTTTTTTCGCCGCTGTAGGCTTTCCTCCTCCGCGAAGTGGCCCGGGACGGGTCAGAGAGATCACGGTCGGATGTAATTCGACCTTTCCCTCCCCTCCCTCCGACAAATTTTCCCTCCGTTAAAATTTCCCGTTCTTTTCCCTTCGCGCGTCCAAACTTTCTTGGGACACGAAGCGAGGCGCTACGCGGTGTAAATGTAAATTTAAGTACGAGAGAAAGGGGCCAAGTGTAACATTCTCGGAGAGAAAGAACGGAGCTTTTGTTTTTCGTTTGTTTCTTTTTTTTTTTTTTTTTTTTTGAGAGTATAAAAGAAAGAGGGAGAAAGGGGAAAAGACGAAGCATATGGAGATTGCGTAATTGGGGAACGAGTGACTCGTGTTATTAAAAATTATCGCACGTGTTCGGGAATAAAGTCAATAGATAGAAGTCAAAGAAGAATATAAAAAATGGCCATTTAGTTCCCTTTCTCGCTCATAATTATACACAGGTCGTAATTGTCTCTGTCGCTTGGCCCCTGTTAAACTTTCCTCGATCCACGAGTAAACAGATTTTGAATTTCACGAGTTTAGGGGGATGGCTTGACGAATCTTTCTCTCTCCTTGTTTTCCTTACCGCCCTGTATCTATGCCCGTCTCGTATCAAGGAAAAAGAAATCCGCGCCGGAATCGCCCTGGAGGCGTTGCACGCTCGCCTCCTTCAGTTTCACTCTAACGTGTCGTGTTTTTGCCTAGTGTGCATACACGCATATATATATATATAGAGAGAGGAAGAGAGAGAAAAATTTTCGGAATAATTTTTCTCCGCTTTAGCATCGTGGCCGTATTACCAGGAGGGAAGGAAAGGGGGTGGGAGGAAAAAAGGACGAAACTAAATTCATTTTCGCGGAATAGTCGCCTCGCGCAAAATGGAACAATATTTTCCCTTCGTTTCACCTTTATCCGGCGAAATGGCCGTGAGTTAGACGACACCGAATTTTCCATGGGTGGAGAGAGAGAGGAAGGGTGGGCTCACACATTCCGGCCGTGCGCGCGAGGAACTCTTTCTCGCAGTCGAAATCGCTTTAACGGCGGCACCTGGTGTTGAACGATGGGGAGGAGGGAGTGAATTACACAACCTTCACACCCGCGCGTGACAACCAGTATCTTTCAGCTTTTTATTAACAGTGATAGTGTGTTTAGCGACTGTCCAGCTGAAGGATACGGGTAATTACGTTAGCCGGAAAATGAATTCCTTTTTTCGTATTATTTAAGGGGGATCGCGTAGGTAGGTGGAGATGAAATAGCTTTAAATCTTTAAGTACACAGGAAAGGTAACAAAAATCTAATCTAACGTGTGACAAGATGATTAATCAAAAGGGTTAGTGAAACGTCCGAATTTTTGAAATATTAATCTCGACGCTTTGATAATAAAATTTATCTAATGAAAACAATATCAAGAATAATTGAAACGATTTTCGAAATATCAAATATTAATTGGTATAATATAATAAAATTCAAAGATGGAGGAATTTTGAATGCTCTCCGATCGAAAAAATATTGCTTCTCATCCATCTCCATCTCTACGTATACGTATAAATGAACGTTGAGGAGTGAAAAACGTTCAGAAAACGGGGTTAAAAAGTTGACTTACCCAAGTCGAAGGAGCGGCAGAGCGGCAGGGAGCAGAGAAAAACGAAAACGGCGATGAGAAGGGGTCGCAAAGGATCCTGTCCGGGTCGGAGAAGCGGCATATTGGTGGTGACCTGAGCCATCGGCGAGCCGACAACCTGCTCCTCCTCATCACTAACTGTCGACGATCCTGACCGCATCGGTCATCGAGCACGTTCCTGGCATCGTGATGGCCGAAAGGTGGTGAGTGTTCTCGCCGATAACCTGCGCACAGTATAATCCCCGTTAATCCCTCCGCAGACGCCACGGAAACGTCGTCCCTGGCAGACGGTTGAAACCGGTTCGGCAATACGTGTCCACGTATTGACGTTAATGCGATTTAAAGATGCGAAATTATCACAATACCCGTCCAATTGTACAAATTGGACAAGACGAATTAATTCACGGGCGAATTATTGAGAAGGATTAAAAAAAGATTTTGTCGTCGCTTTTAAACAATTCGAGGATTCGCGCAAATTTTTGGGGAAAGGAGAGACGATCGATCAAACAACGAGCGATTCGAAGCGTTTGCTTTCGTTTTCGAAAAGTTTAAGGTTCGATTTTGAATTAAAGTTTTCGCGAATATCGTCTCGTGTTTCGCGAACGAACGATAAAATTCTGATATTCTTGGATACATGAACGTTGGTCGAGTTGATATTTGGTTTTCCAGAAATCGCGATCGTTCTTTGAAATAGGAGTATTCTATTCGAATTCACATTGCCTACCTGCATGGAGTAATGAATCCAGCTACTCGTGTCCCGACGAAATTTCATTCAACTCCGTTCGATTTAACGGAACTTAAATGCACCCAAATCCTGAAGAGATTATACCATCGAATTTCGCGTGACATATAGTCCTGCGATACTGGCGCAAGATCAATATTTCATATTGAAATATGTATCCGCAAGTAGAATTCAACCAATGTTAAATAAGACGTCCCCACAATGAATATGAATTTCTGTAAATTTACATCGAGATCTATCTGTCTATCTTTGCAAGTATTTTAAAATAGACAAAATAAAATAATTAATCCCAATTCCCCTGTAGAGAACGTCAATAACTTTTAACATATATTTAAAATCAGACAGAATTCAATTATTCAACGAGACAAGAATATCTTGGAAATATTTAAAAAAATATTCCCAGCAACGATACGATTTATTAATGAAGATTCGGTATCAAATGTGGTGCAACATTGGATCTCGTTGAGTAAGATGAGATTCAATCGAATTTTATTGGCGTTGAATAAGATCCAATCGACTCCGCATCGAATCGAATCCAATCGCGCTCCATTCGTATCGAATCAGGCCCTACGAGTCGCCATCGTGTCGTGAACGAAAGCTGTACGGGTCCCTTAATCGGCGAGAACGAGGAACCAAAGGGGTCATTGCGTGCCGACATAAATGACGATATAATATCGCCTTCTAAACTCGTTCGAACGAATTCCATTAAGAATCATATTCGTTTGCGCCGCTTGTTTGAGCCGCGCTCGCTTTGTAATCGCTTCACCAACGATGAAAACAGATCGTGACTTTCCACCCGATCGATCCATCCGTCCATCGATCAAATATTAAATTCGATTCGAATACGATCGATATTTGTCGTCCTTTTTTACGAATAACAAAAATTTCCTCATCCGCGTTAAAATACTCTTACATTCACTCTACGTACTCTCGTAAAAGAAATATCATTTTACAAGGATATTGAACTGCTTTTCTAGAAAGCAATAGGTTTAAAATCGCGGAGAAGGAATAAAAATCCATACGTGGTATTTCGAATGAATAATTCATTAAACTGTAAACCCATTCGTGGCTACGTATAAAATTTTAATCGCAACTTGGTTATTAACGAGATCGTTCTCGGGGAAAAAAAGAAAGAAAGAAAGAAAAAAAATTGTTAAGGGGCCGTGTAACGGCGATCGCTTTACACGAGCGCGAGAGGCTTTACACAATTCGCGCGTGTAAACTATGATGGACGACAACCGTTCGCGTTGCTACATTAACTCCCGGCATATCCTCGCCAACACCCTAACCGTCAGTCCGCCCCGTCCGAATAAAAATTTTCCCTCGGTTTCCCTGCCCGTGTTCCAGCGTATTCCTCCGTATGATTTATTCGATACACAAAAGAATTTAATTCCCCGGAACCAGTTTCTGAAATTCTCTTACAGGTGCAGGAACGTTGGACACGCTTCACAGACAGATTTCACCGGCGGAATACGAGAAATAAAAATTATTTGTATCCAACGGTTACACGGTATTATTATATATCGCCTTTGACGAATTTTCTCGTGGAATAATTTTCATCCTTGCATTTCCACATTTCTGTTTTATCTCTTTTTCTTTAATTTTATTATTATTAATTTTATTACTTTATTATTAATGGAAAGTGATTGTGCGTCTCATATACTTTATTTATAAAATAACTTTGTTTTATATAAATGTTAGGCGACAACAATTTGAGAGGAGATTGTTCAAGTAAGATGAAAATTTTAACAATCGTTCTTTAATTATCGATAATTAAAAATTAATAAGAATATTGGTGAATGACGAGCAAATTTTTCTTCGAAAGATATTCCAAAATATATAACTTATCGTATAATTCCGAAGAAAATTAGAAGCACACGACTTTCTCCTTTAAGACGCTTTTTAATTCATCTCGATAGCACTTTCGGATCCCTTCGGTTATCCTCGTGTAAAGAAAAGGGTAATTTTTTGATCAATTTTCAATATTTCCCTTGTCACTTACTCTCACTCGAATCTTGGCTCAGATTCCTAGAAGAACACATACAATACACATACAACATTTTGGAAAAAGACATGTCACTGAAAGATACGCCTCATTCGAAGAATGACTCGAATTTCTCATTCTCTACATGAAAAGTTTCATGGGTAAATTTTGAGCGAATGACCTATTGTAACGCAAAATGACTCGTTACACCACTGCTCGAATTTTGGAAAATTTGCCATTTGCCGAATTCAATTGCTGTTCACATACCGTTAGACGTACACACACGTGCCATTTAATTCTGCTCGTACCCCGACCCTCCCCCTCGCCCTATAGATTCGCTCGCCAAGCGTCCGGGATTCGTTAGGAACTCGTAGTTATTCCGACCGCGTCGTCCCATACAGGAACTTGCCGGTCCGTACACAATTATGTGCACGTATGTAGCAGTCCAAGCAGGTAAAACGGTGGTACGCGCGAAAAGGGGGGCGTTTCTAAACAATTCGGGTATGGAGGGAAGGGGGAAATAATTAGTGGCGGTGCGACTTTAATCTGGCAACATTATAGCGGTATTAAAACGGTATGTGATGTATTAAAACCCGTGTTTACGCAACACGGATTTACCCCGCGCTAATTGAATGCGAAAACTCAAAACTTTTCAGCCTTCGCGTGTTGTAAGTAGAATTAGACTGTTTGTTCTCGCTGGATCTAATTAATCACGTCGCGTTTAATCCCATTTCGTTTCTAACGTTTCTATATATATATTTATAGATACAGATATTTGATCGATTGGTCGTGCAATTTTTATCTAGAAATTTGAAGAAATTGTACGAATTCGATATCTTTCATATCCAAGATTAAAATTAGGGTATCGTAGAATTTATTGCTGAATCTAATTAATATCGTTTAATCCCATTCGTTTCTAATAGATATAGATATTTGATCGATGATTTTTTATTTATAAATTTGAAAATTGTGCGAATTCTATAATATACCTTTAATAATATATCTATATTAATAATGTTTAATCCCATCTAATAGATAATAGATATATATAATTAATCAATTGTCCTGCAATTTTTATTTAAAAATTCGAAAATTGTACCAATTTTATAATCAATATCCTATCCGAGGAAATTAATTAATTAATTAAAATTAGGATCCGATGAAGAACGAGGATTTCGTGCGTTCATCCATTTGCACGGGGGTGAATTTATGTCGTCTAAATATATATATATATATATATATATATATATGAAGTATCGGCATCGGCGATAAAACGGGAAGAACACGTCTCTGTTTTCCGTGTAACGTTTCAAGGATGCGAGGCCGACCCCGTGTACTGTCTGATATATAGCTATAGAATACAAAGAGGCTCGTAAAGCCGTCAGAAACAAGTGTTACATCCTGTATCGAGGTTGTAAGATATTGCGATATGCGTGTAGCCCGAAACCTATAATGGAACTTGGAGATGGGCCGTTTTCAATAGCCGATTCACGTGGCGGCCAATTGGGCTGTGCACGTTTCACGAAAGTGCTCCCTCGAAATCGGGTTGGAAACTAAAAGTAAAATATGCGACGAAACTGAAGCGCGGTTAAAGTTACGAGAGAGAGAGAGAGAGAGAGAGAGAGAGAGAGACAGAGAGAGAGAGAGAGAGATTGTTGTTATGGAGGGACAGTCGATATTCTTCGCTTCCCTTTATTCTCACTCTAATTGTTCGCAACTATCGATCGTTAGTCGATAACGAGCGTGGAAGAGATTAAATCACACGCATCCGTGAACCATATGTTGTTAGAGCGGCACAACATTGCGATAGTTCGTTGAACTGTGACGCTGCCGTTGATAAACGATATCGTGAAATATTTTCGTTAACAGGTTTCGCTTTGCCAGTTACGAAATTATCATTATTGGAAACTTGGAAGAAGATTTTAGAATCTTTTTTTTTTTTTATTTCTAATGACAATTTGATATTTGAATTTTTTGCTTTCTTAATTTTGCAATTTTGCAAATGCTCTCCTTGTAATTCTTGCCCTCAACGATCGCTTATCGAAATTTGAAATATTCGATCTTTCGCCTGTAACAAACAAATATTCAAATTACGAAGACAAGGATACTTGACCTATCAGATTTTCAATTAATTGAAGTTTGATGTTCCTACACGATAAACTTATACCCTACTCAATTTATCATTTAGGCGAGAAGAATAATCGTGAGTCGGGTGAATCGATCTAAGAAATAAATTAATATGAAAAATATGAAAAATACGTTTCGTATTTGAATTCAACAAAAGTTTTGCATAAAATAAATTTTAGAACAAACAACGTTCCTCCTCGCAGTTTCCGTGAAACGACAAAGGGGGGAAATAGCTATGAAGAGAAACCCTGAAGGACGGTCGCCGCGTTTAAAAAACTGGGTCAACTTCATTGCCGAGTAAAGAATC